TGTCCTTATGCAAAATGACCACCCTATTGCTTTCATTAGCAAGGGTTTATCTCCATGCCATGTTGCTCTATCTGTGTATGAAAATGAATTATTGGCCTTGGTATTTGCTGTCACCAAGTGGGCCCACTACTTACTTGGTCAACACTTCATTGTTAAAACTGATCACAAAGCCTTGAAGTATCTATTGGAGCAAAAGCTACATACAGATTCTCAGATTAGGTGGTTTGGCTAAACTGTTTGCCTTTTGACTTTGAAATTCAGTATAAAAAAGGGTAAGGAAAAACCTGGTTGCAGATGTTTTATCTAGGATCCAAGGTGCAGAACTTATGTCCATGATGATCTCTTCCGTCCAAGCTGATTTATGGGATGAGATCAAAGTTAGTTGGACTACGGATCTTGCATTACAAGTCCTTATTCAATCCTTGCTGGTGCAACCTCGTAAGCATTTCACTTGGCTTAATGGACAGCTGAGACGAAAAGGGAAATTAGTTGTTGGTGATGATGCTTCCCTTAGAACCAAAATCTTATCACTATGGCACTCTACTCCTGCTGGTGGGCATTCAGGCATTGATGCCACTACTAGGAAGGTCATGGCCTATTTCTATTGGAAGGGTATTCGATCAGATATAGCTAATTTTGTACACAAGTGTGCTGTGTGCCAGAGGAACAAGTATGATACATCAGCTTATCGTGGTCTACTCCAACCCTTGCATATACCTGCTTTGCCATGGACGGATATATGTATGGACTTTATTGAAGAACTCTTGTAACACCCCGGAAAATGGTAGGTTAATCTAGAGCCTAAGCGTGAGGTTTTGTGTAACTTTCCGGAGATGTTTAGAACTAAACTAGGATCAAAAGGGAAGAGGTAAGCATCAAGGATGAAGTCAAGGACCATAAAATACCTAAGGAAAATGAAGGAAAATAATACCTACCTTTAGTCCATTCGGCGATGGGCGGTAGCATTGTCCATGAGCATTGGCGATGAGCCAAATGAACTCTCCTCACCTAGTGGACAACCTTCAATTGTCCTAGGTTCTGGAATGTTGGGCGAGAGGAGTCATGGGTCGCCAATGGGGTTGGCGATTCGCCCATTGACCTTCCCCATCGCCTAGTGATCTGCCCATTTAGGGAGTTTATTGGAATTTTGGGCGAGCCAAGGATCCATTAGGAGAGTCGCCTAGTGCCCTTGGCGAGCCAAGGGTACCAAAGGGAGAGCTCCAGCATGGGAAGGTAAGTTTTTGAATTTTAAGTAAGGGTCTTTTAGTAATCTCTTCAAAACTTGAACCAACACTTTCCCATTCTTTTCCTAACATATATATATATATATATACGTTTTAAAGTCAAAATTCTTCCTTTTTAGTTACTCCCAATTCATAAAAGAAGAAAACCAAGAACATCATCTTTTTCTCAATATTTCTCTCTCTAGAAGTTTCTCCATTGAAGAACACCAAGAACTTGAAGATTAGGGATCAAGAATCCATCTTCTCAACTCCAATTCATGGGCAAAGCTTCAATTAAGGAATGGGGACTTTGATTCATTGAACACTTTTCTCCATGAAGCCCTTCAAACTCTTGATTTCAAAATTGGTAACTTGTTCAAAAACTAGGGTTTTCATTCCAACCATGGGTTCTTCCTAAAAATGATTTTATGATGTTAATTGAATTATATTATGAATGATTTGATGTTTAATGGTGATTATCATTGTAAATTTTCCCCATGAACCCATGAACTACCCCATGACCCCAATTTCATGAATTGTGATGGGTTTATTGACGCAAGATGATTACTATGAATTACATCTATGATAATATAGTTATCGAATCTTGTTTTATTCATGCTTAAAGTATTATTTCTTAGTATGATTGTGAGACATGATCCATGACCCTTGAGAGGGTAAATTTCTAGGGTTTGTACCTATTGTTGAAGGTGATGTGGGTGAACTTACAATTCACTTGAAAGGTAAAGATCTTATGACTATTGTGTAGATTGAGGTATTGTTGAAAGGTTATTCTCCCCTTACCCGTCAAAGCATGGTTTTTTTTTTGTTTCCCACCCGGTGTCTGGAGCCCACATTGGAGCTCCGACTAAATCCGAATCACGCTCTGCAGGACCCATTCGGGGGTGGCGCTCCCAACAGGATTTTCTTCATACCCGGGGCTCGAACCCGAGTTAATCACTGGGATCTTGTTTATTTTCTACTGCAGTTTGACACACATGTGCATTGTTTGTGCGCGTTTGGATATAAAAATTGTGAATTATGAATGGAAAAAAAAGTTTAAAATGGCATTTGAAAATTGAAATTGCGTTTGGACATGAATATAAATTTGAGTTGTTTCTACATTGAGTGATTTGGAGCGAAGATTATAACAACTTTTTAGAGTTTTCATAGGAAAATTGTATAATAATTTTATCCTAGAAAAAAGTGAAAAATATCAAGTTTCGAGCACTTGGGTAGGTTCATTTTGGTTCTTCAAATATAACCCCGTGAACATATTTAATGAGTTATGTTAGTAAGGTCAAAAGTACTCCACTTTAATAAAGTTAAGGGATTAAATATGTAAAATAAGCTTATTCTATTTCGTGTTTATATTGAACCAATAGACAACTGGTACTATATTTTTTACGTATATATATTTCTATGACATAATTCTGACTAATCATAGTATATTTTTAGTCAATATAAAATATCTAACCCTGATTAACTCCTATCTACCGGTGGATGGATTAGTTATTTATTTCCATATATTTAGCAGTATCTTGTTTAGTGATTAATTTGAGAGAGTGATAGTCTTAATAGAACTCTATAACCAATCCTATTACTATTCAAATTCAATAATATAAAGTTCTCTAAACAGAATCAATTAAGCAGAATTAAGTTGGAATACTTATCTGTTGTTCACTTATTTTAATGTTTTTGATTGTTTAGGATTTGATAGAGAAACAATGGGATCTTTTGGCTATGGCCATAGAGTTTTGCTCGAGGTTCGTTTTCTTTTCTATTTTATATTTACGTTCTTTCAATTTCAAAAAGAATGACATTATTATCCGTGATAAAAAAATATACCTATATACTCTGGATTTATAAGGAAAAAACAAAAGTATCTTTAATTATTATTCTAGAAGAAATGAAAGATTGAGGAACTGGAAGTCCAAATTTGAGGCCAAAGTTCATACCATTTGATCCCCTATTTGGGTATATTTCTTAATATCCTTCCTAAATTATTATTTTACGCATTTTCCAGAAGAGCATATTCTTTTCGTATTTGTGACCTTTGTTTGTTAAAAAGTTACATTAGTTTATTCTTTTCTAGATTTATCATTGTGATAGTAACTTGTTCCTTTTGATAAGTATCCGCAATATTCAATAATAGCCTTAAAATGGTAACATAAAATTGTATGTCCTCACTGGTGCACTGGTGGGAGTGTTTCACCCTTAATTAGAGGTCTCAGATTCAAGTCTTGGGCACAGAGAAAATTCTGTTGGGAGCACCACTCATGTGCACTATTTGTACTTAGTCGGAGCTTTAATGTGGGCTTCAGACACCGGGTGGAAAACAAAAAATAAATAATAATAATAATAAAATTGTATGTCCCTCCTTTGATATATAAGTGTGACAACAAGAAGGCAATATGTTTCCTCTTCTCAAAACCGTGTAACTCTTCTTCTTTTTCGTTGCTAATTTTAGATCTTAATAGATGCTGCATATCCATAGTCATACATATATGTAATATGACTTACAACTTGTTTGGATATAATATAAATTACAATAATATATTATTTAAGACTTTAATCAATAAAATATATTCACTATACCATCACATTCATTATATATAACAAGTGTTTTTAATTTAATTTTGTATAAAAGATCGGTTTGTATATTGGTATACAATATGATTTGTTTATATCAAAATCCTAGTCATGTTGGTATACAATAGGGTTTTACCTCTTAAGTTAGTAACTTAGTATAATAGTACGGTTGTTATTTTGGTATGAAATACGCCAATTCAAAAGTAATCACTAATTTAACTAATTTACTGTTTCTTCTTTAAACTTTCAATGTAAATATCTTAATCCAACCAAAAATCACATACACCACAAACTACCAAGTTATTTGACAACAACGACATATACCACAAATACATACTCGCAAATTTGGTGTATATAAAGTATCTATACTATATCAATATACTACATCACATACAACACTAGTATGGTCAAATGACAAAATTACAATCACGAGAAAAAACATCAAACAATTTAAATTCATTATGTAAATCAATCACCAATTCTGCCGTGCTCTATCCACACATACATGTTGCATCCCATCTTTCGTCGTACTGAATTAAAATTGACACACTGTTCGTATCCGTAATTGAACAAACTATCAGAACAGAGGATGGTAGAGAGTTTTATTTTGGTTAAAATACCTTCTTTTTATTTAATGGGAGAGAATGTATAACATTTTGAGTTAATTGTGGAAGGTAAATAATATAATAGGAGATAATTAAGGAATTGGAGAAAATTGTAGGTCAGCATGTCTCTCACATTTCCGTTTCGGTTTTTTAATTAATATTATTTTATGTTTTTATAAAAAAAAATCTATTTCTATGTTGGTGAAAAATAAAACTATTGTTATATAATGATTTTTTAGGTTCTTATTTAGTTTACTTAATAAAATTTAAATAACCATCAACACTAATATGGGTAAAAAAACATAAGTATACTAAATAAGAACTTAAATAACCACAATATAACAATAGTTTTATTTTTCAGCAACATAGCAATAGATTTTTTACAAACGTAAAACAATATTAATAAAAATAAAAAATGAAACAGAAATGGGAGAGATATGCTGACCTACGATTTTCTCCAATCCCTTAATTATCTCTCATTCTATTATTTACCTTCCACAATTAACTCAAAAGGTTATATATTCTCTCTCATCAAAAGAAAGTATTTTGACCAAAATAAAAGTATCTACCCTCCTTTATTATGATAGTTTGTTCAACAACGAATATTCTGATAATTTGTTCAACTACGGATATTCTAATACTTTGTTCAAATACGGATATGAATAGTGTGTCAATTTTAATTCAGCACGATGAAAGATGAGATGTAACAGATATGTGTGTGGATAGAGCACAACGAAATTGGTGATTGGTTTACATAATGAATTTAAATTACTTGGTGTTTTTGTCGTGATTGTTATTTTGTAATCTAACCATATTAGTGTTGTATGTGATGGTGTAGTGTATTTGATATAGTATAGAAAAATTTGATATAGTATAGAAAATTTAGACACCAAATTTGCTTTGTGTTTGTGGTATATGTCGTTGTCAAATCACTTGATAGTTTGTGGTGTATGTGGTTTTTGATTGGATTAATGTATTTACATTGAAAGTTTAAAGAAGAAAACGGTAAATTAGTAAAATTACTGATTAATTTGAGTTGGTGTATTTCATGTCAAAATGACGATCATACTATTATACTAACTTGAGAAGTAAAATCCTACTGTGTACCAAAATGATTAGAATTTTGATATAAACAAATCATATTGTATACCAATATACAAACATTTTTTATACTAAATTAAATTGAAAACGCCATCCTGTTATATATATATACTTTGGTGAATGTGATAGTATAGTGTGTTGGTGTATTTAATATAGTATAGATAATTTATAGACACCAAATTTGTTTGGTGTATGTATATGTGATGGAGAATATATTTCTACCAAATATAAACTACATAAAACTAGAAAGTA